ACTTCCTTATGTTGTGTTCATAGGCCTATTAGCCTGTAATATTATTATTAAGTCCATTCAACAAACAACATTAAATATATACATACATATCAAAGCTATTAGGTTAAAGTTCTCGTGTCGGTGCATGCATAAAACATAATTTCCTACTTTGGATATCTGAGATTGACAGACAAAATTCTCTACACTATATATACTAATTTAACGAGTGGACTTCCTTGATTTAAGGAAATATATATGTATATTGAGATACGCAAAGTTTAGACGATTAGAAGTTCAAAGCCTCGCTTGACACCATAGGCGTAGATCCCGGGGGATGGGGGATATATCCCCCCAATATTTGACAAGGGGGAGATGGTCCATTGTATCTTCCCCCCAATATTTTCACTATGTATGGGATAAAATGGAGCTTGACACACTTCAAAAGACTGTCACAGAAATAATTTGCACTGTTTTATGCGCTTACAAAGATGAAAATTAGCATAATGTATTAATGTTGATAACAAAATTATTTTATCTGGTACCAATCTAAGCTCTTCTTTCCTTAGATGTTAGATGTGCTTGCAAAGAGAGCCACATTTCACACTGAAGGGTGTGCACGACATCAGTATTCCAAGAATGTTTAAGGTTATATCGGTTGATGGGGAATTCATTGATTAAGCCTATAGCAAATTGCATCAATTTATTTTGCAAAAACAAGGTTTCCAGCTTCAGAGGGGGGGGGGGGCACATCCCCTGTCCGCACAAGGGCACACATTGGCGCTAACACCAGGCGCGTAACAGGGGTCTTGGGTCAGAGTGGGTATATTTTCCCGGTTAGTAATTTATCATACACACCCCACCCCACTCCCCATATAGAAAACAATACGACATGACTTATGTTATTTATAATATAGGCCACACACGTGTGTTTGAAACTAAAATATAAGCATTTTCATCATGGTTTTATTTATTACAAACATATTCTTTCACCATCAATACACATTGAGGCCCTTCTTTTAGGGTAAAACGATCTATCTTAAATTGGTCTTTCTTGAGTTTGGGACTATTATGTGTTTAAATAACTTAAAAAGATAAACCTAAAAAGCCCTAAAAAATGCGCGCGAAGCGCGCAAAATATTTTTGTGTTTTTAATTCTAATTTCGTCGGAATTGATGAAAACTCCCTAAAATGTGCAATTTATAGAGGAAACTGGCCTACCGTAACAAGAAATGCGCGCAAAGAATTTGAGAATTTTAGGCACTTTCAGAGGATGCATTTGTCAAGGGGTAGGGAAAGATTTTCCAAAGATGGATATTTTCCCCTTCTCCCCCGGTGTTTTTAATTCTAATTTCGTTGGAATTGATCAAAACTCCCTAAAATGTGCAATTTTTAGAGGAAATTGGCCCATGCTAACAAGAAATGTGCGCGAAGCGCAAGAAATTTGAGGTTTTTAGGCACTTCCAGGGGATGAAAAGGGCATTTATAAAGGGGTGGGGAAGATTTTCCAAAGATAGATATTTTCCCCTTGTCCCCCAGTGGTTTCGCCATCGGGCAGCATAGATCAAAGGAGTTATGACAGTTTTTGAAGTGGAGAAGGGGTTGTAGGGTGTTGTGAGTCTGGTCATTTTTATTCTTATCTTTATTTTTCTCTTCTCTTTTTCTTTTCCTTTCCTTTTCTTTTCCTCTTCTTTCTCTTTCCCTCCCTCTCCCCTCTTTCTTTTCTCTTATTACCCGGCCCGGTACGACGGCTTGGTCAGCCCGGTAAAAACCGTCAGGGGAGGGGAAGTTTCCCCCTCCCCCCGCGCCTGTTACGACACTGGCTAACACGCCAATCATCCCCCCCATCCCCCCCCCCCAATGAAAAATACTTTTCTACGGCACCGCTTGACACTTCACATCAAAGGGCCTGTAAATTAATCTTGCACACTTCCTCCTCCTCCTCCTCATCATCATCTTCATCATCATAATTATTAATTGTCCACAGCAAAGTAGGGAAAAACTATGAATTCAGAGTGTATTCAATAATAGAAGTTTCATAATGCACGAAGTGTATTTCAAAGCATCTAGAACACAAAAACTTTTCGAAGGAGAAGCCGAAGACTCTTCCCCACCCCATATCTAATTTGTCTTCTAGAGACAAAACAAGCTATCTCTCTTCTCATGACCCCTCCCACCATGGGAACCCATCTGTGCGATAGCCAGGGTAAACTCTGGATCCGCGCTTGACATGTATTTAAGAAAAGCGCTTGAAAAAGAACTATCAAGAATATTTATATATATACTGTCTCTTATACACATCTAGATGTGTATAAGAGACAGTCAATACACATTGAGGCCCTTCTTTTCGGTTAAAACGACCTATCTTAAATTTGTCTTTCTTGAGTTTGGGACTATTATGTGTTTGAATAACTTCAAAGGATAAACTTTAAAAAGCCCTACAAAATTCGCGCGAAGCGCGCAAAATATTTTTGTGTTTTTAATTCTAATTTCGTCGGAATTGATGAAAACTCCCTAAAATGTGCAATTTATAGAGGAAATTGGCCTACCGTAACAAGAAATAAGACCTCCTCCAGTACAAGCCGAAGCTCTCTAACAATAATCGTATCCCCATTGTCTTAAACTATCACCCCCTCAACCGAACTATTGCCGGTTCTATTCGGAAGGATTTCCCTATCATCCAACAGGATGAAAAAGTTATCCTTGGTTCATTGTTTATTGTTTATTACATTTATTATAACATCATTTGCCATCCATTGCGCATGAGTTATAACAACTTTATGACTCAGCCTGGTGTAGCGGTCTTTTATAAACGTATAAATCCATTGGTATTAGGCCTACCGTACTGTATCTAAAAAAACATGGAAGTATATCAGTAATATGAATTAATAATTCCAAAAAATTCTTCTAAAAAGTATTACTGTAGAAGTAAACATTCTCATACACACACCCGATTATACGATCATCAGTAGGCTATATAACCCTGGCCCAGTATTTATCAATCTCAGCTTAGCAAATGTCTTAAGTCAAAAAAAGTTAAGATATCCCTAATAAATAGCTGATTTATTAAACCATCTTAGCAAAATCTTGGCTTAAAAATTGTCTTAGATGGCGCTTCTAATTTTAAGCAATTTTTAAGCTAATCAATTTTGATAAATTTGACTTAAGCAAAAAAATGGATTTAAGACGAATTTAAGCTGATTTTTAGTTTGATAAATCTGCCCCCTGGTTCATAGTACATTTTTCCTGCCGATTTTGAGTACTTAAGTTAATAGACACACTACCACCTTCCCTGGCATTGTTAACAAGTGTCTGACTTTTTCTGCGTGTAGCTCACTGTATCTACAGGAAGTAGCGTAGAGTATTGACATGGGTAGGGGATGATTAATGGGGGAGAGATAAATGACTAAGTAGGAAGGGGGAGCTGGTATGATGCGATGTCTAACCATTGTCAGCGCCAGCGGCGGATCCGGGAGCAGACTCGAGTGGGCATATCATTATGTTGAAAACACTGCTTGCAAACGTATTAGTACAGACTGAAAGTGCCTTTTCCGGGAATCTAGGTGTGTCTATACAATTTTCTTACCTTAGCCCCAACATAGTGGCGTAGCTAGGGGGTCAAGGCGGGGCAGTGATATGGGAGGGGCGGAGGGCGCTGAAATGGGAGAATGAGAGTAACCACTTTTTAGAAAAGCGGAATTGATGTATGTCGTCAGGCATGAATATTTTCCAGTTAATAATAATAATCTGAATGTAGTTGTTTTTATTGGCAAATTTATAGATTCTGATTTCTTTTCAGTTCATTTCGACCGTTTTCTCTTTGTTTTTATCCTATTCTGTAATGACTATATGACTAAAGCTCATCCTGCCATATCTCAGAACCACAGTGGGACAAGTGAGACTATTTGCGTTGGCACTTTTTTGTATTGAGCGCGATGAAGCAGACAACATTGCTAACTTTGATCACGTTATTAACTCATTTGCAAATGCAAAAGCACGCAAAATTCAGTTGCGAGTTTAAACGATGCTACAAATTCAGCACAATACAAGACAAGAATACTAAGCTCTATGCGATAAATACAACAGCCTTACAAATTAGGATAATGGTAAAGTTGCATACAAAGTTCCGAACATCGTAATACAGTTTCATTGGTAAGAAACAGGGATGGCGCGACCGGGGGGGGGGGGAGCCCTCTTCGGGGATAGCTACCCCCTCCCCCGGTCGAGGAGAAAAACCATAATTCGTCGGGGAGAAAACAAAAATTATATGTATTTTGTACATATTAGTAGACTCTAAATTCGATTAAATAAGCCTTTGAAACCCATGAATTGTCAACATTTTAAAACATTGAAGGCCTACACAATTAGGCCTATGTCAGCCCGCCGCTGCTCTCAACAGACTGGAGCGGCACCAGCTTAAAAAGTTTAAACACCCCGGCATAGCAGATGAAAATTTGCACGTAGGTTTAACGCAAGCTTGTATAAAGCACCAAGTCTTCGAGTAGGGGTAAACCGCTGAGATATAAAAATTAACGACGACATCTAACAAACGACAAAAAAATTATTGTAACCTGGAAAAGCCTGGGAAGACTTTTTAATAGAGTAAACTCAAAATCGAGGTGGTTTTAGATTTTACTTTACATAAAATAACGTAGCACTAGGCATTTCCCATCTGCTAATTTTCCACTCGGGGATTATTTCCCTCTCGGGTATGTATTTTCCCGATGTATATTTCCTTCTAGTTTTCCACTGAATTTGTTAACCAGTTCATGTCCATTGTACCATAGAGAAAATTTAACTATTTTCATTATGATTGTACTGTATAAGGCAGAACATTTTATTTGTTTTTTTATTTTAACTTTTTTTTCCTCTGTATAAATGAATTATTCCCTTGTCGTTGTAAGGTTACATCACATGGTGTGCCGATGATACAAAAGCGTTATCTAATCAATTGACTGATTTGACTCTTAAAGCATTCGAAATACTAGTAAAACCCAACACACATGGTAGAAACGTTATTTTTTTTTAAGTTTGCATCCGGGTTCAGATAAGAAATAAGCCTAGAGGAAAGAAAACAGGAAATCTCTTTTAACATACTTCCTCTTCCCCCTAAAATTTTACCTTGTCCCTCACTGCCACCTCCCTCACATTTCAGACGCTGGCGCCGCCGCTGGCGGCAATTACTTCTGGTAAGGAGCGACAAAAAGAAGGGCACAATGATTTTATTATTACCACGTCTGCTCTTCTACAGTACTTGTGCCCTTAGTGATTCTTTCCTACAATTATTATCCCCACTTTTATTTAAAAGCATAAGTTGCGGTTGTTGGTAGCACTATTTCATTAAATATATTTTTAAAATAGGCCTGATGTTATTTAACTTGTTTAACCATGGAGGAATAAGTTCAGTACTTTACTTACTCATCCATGGTTTAATCAGTATTAACATTATGTTTAAACAAATTAATTAAGGACCATGGAGCATAGCTACCAGATAACCACTTGCCAGTGGTGATTATACTGAGGTACCAATGTAGCTGCGTTACGGACATATGTTAAGCCTAATTGTAGGCCTACAAACAATGTTAAATGTTATAAGGGCATATGACCAAAAAACATGGTAATCATGATTGTCAAACCAGGACGAGAAAGTAAAAACAAAGAGGATGCAATGTTTGTAAATTCGAAGACAATTTTTGTTCGTTCGATCTTCAAATGTAAATGTTTTAAAAGGTTTATTTAAATATTATACATGCTAACATATACCATTGTGTATAGATTTTATATTTGTTGGTACAGGCTGGGAAACTATTTAAATATTTATTATATGTAGGCCTATACGTATTTTTATTACCGGAAGGAGTAAAATAAATACAATGACATCTATCTCAATTATCTTTTACAATACCTATTAATGTCCGTTTTTCAAAAAATATATAAATAAATAGTGATAATAACGAAAATGAAAATTATCCATAGAGAAAGTATCGTAATCGCTGTTATACACACGAATCTATTAAGATACACACGATTCTGTTACGATTCGAAGTCCTCCTGTTTTATAGAGTTGAAAAATCATATCAAATTCAATGGGCATGCTATGAGTGTTGACAAAACTGGCATTTTCGTAGTAGTGGAAGCGAAGAGGCTGTCCTGACCTCGTCTGGTTGAAGGGGTAGAATCCGTACAGAGACACCTTCCGGCAAAAGGTAAAGGCTAAAGTGTAAAGGAATACTCCAGATGATGGTATGGAATCCAGTTTCCAGAACCTGCAAACGTATTGAGATTTATGTAAAACTTTAAAAAGTTGAAGAAGCACTTGAACTAGTTTTGCAGAGATTGAAGTAAATTTAAAATAAACTGTTAACCTACAAACATTTATGTAGGCCTATTCAATTATCAGTGACGGGTCCAGAAATTCGAAGGGTGCCAGGGAAGGACTTCCACAGATAGGACGTCAATATAGTGGGGCTGAGGTAAGACAATTTATGATTATGGCATTACTAGATGGCCGGAAATTGTACTCTCAGACCTAAATTTAAATAAAATTTTCTTTTTCGAGAATGCCCCACCCTCCACCTTGAATCCGCCACTGTAAGTGTCGTAGTGCGTGTACTCACGGTGTCTAACTATACACACGTTTTACCTGGTTTTACTCACTTTTGTAGCGGTGCCTTCAACTGTCTATCAGGAAATGTCACTGCAACATCACTCTTGAGTTTGCGCAGGGCTGCCACAACGTTATAATATATATAAGAAGGAACACCGTGTAATTTTGAAAACCAGACAGTAGACCTGTTAATATTTTGTAAATAGTTTTTACAAAGCTGGTAGCATTTAGTGCCATTGCTTCGTAAACATCTGTAGTAGAATTTAGCTATTGCACTATTCATACTGACAAGATCAGTTCGTTTACCGACGTCAATTTCGTAATCTTCAATTGGCGCCATGTTCGTCCGCAAAACTACATCGTGAGCGTCAATTTCTAATCCACAGTTGCTATTTGTCAAAACGCCACTGTTCCCTACAACTGCACACGTTTCAACATTGTTGACTGCTTTAAGGAGTAAATCATCATTATTGCCTTGTAATTTACCAGCAAAAATATTTTCCTCGTCAGAAATGTTAGAATCATAGGGTAAAAATTGTAGCATACTTTCCAAGGAAAACCCAGCTTTCTTCAGTTGTCTCCTAGAAAAAATATACAAGGACGTATTGTATTAAGAAATGGATACTATGGACCTTATAATATCTTTAATAATAATATCATGGACGGTAATATTGTGTATTTTTGACAAACAGTCAGCAAGTTGACACAAATGATGCACTCAAATTTTCCACAAATAATGTACCTGATGGATTGTACTTTTGATATGTTGAGGTTATTAAACATCTTGTTGATGTTTCGTAGTAGTCTCATTTGACCTTTTCGATTTTGCTGAAAAACACTGACGCCATTGCCTACAGATATGCCGTGACGTTTCTGAAACCTAATGAAAAGACCACCATTAAAACGGTGTGATGATTACGTATCGCTGTGTACATATTTGGTTTGCTGAAGATCAGCCAGTGGTTGTAGTTTCGGGAAAATGACTACAGGAAATATTGATACATAAGTGGTAATTGGAAATAAGTATGACGCAAAAATTATTGTGTAGAGAACAAAAACGACATAAAACATAAAATCATATACAGTATCACTCATTTCAATAATAAAAAAAGAACAAAGAAAGTACGGCTAAGTGGCCGGATTAACGTCACTGTCACGGGGCTCTCCTGAACAAAGATGTCAAAAGAGAATGATCGGTTAAAAAAAAAGATAACAGGAAAGTTTTTATGAAAAAATATGATAGGCCTATTTAGAGTAAATGGCGAGAGTTATCAGAAGAAAAAAAAAGAAAAAGAAAAAAAAGAAGAAGAAATAATGAAAGTATTTGCATAAATAGAGTGTAGCATTATATGAGTCGGAGACTGACAGTGAGCGAAAATGAAGACAAATACCACATGAAAAAGTACAAGGGATAACGAATGAGAAGAGGATAGTGATAGTTTTAGTAATAAAAAGTAAAGAATCGGACATGCAGTGAGAGGAAATGGTCTTCAAATAAAACAGCCGAAGAAAGAATAAATGAAAAGCAGCCTCGAAGAAAGAACGAGCAATGAACACAATAACCTAAAAAAGGGATGAGCTTACAGAAGAAAGAGACGAGACGTCACATAGAGAAAGCTGAAGGAATCAATGCATACAACCACAGACCCTACTGTGATAAAACATAGCAGATAGCAGAAAACAAATGAGGATGTGCATTTCAGCTGGGACAGAAAAGTAGAGAGGATGAGGCACGAAAGTAGCTAGGAGCTAACTCAGCAAGAAATTTGAAAACCGAGGTAAAAAATGTCGACGTGACAATTCTGAATTATAATAAGCTAATGAGGTTTGTTTACACTAAGTGTTACATTCATAATCTGACACAATTTTAAGCGCTTACCTAAATTTAATGTTTCCGATTCCTCTGGCATTTAAAGTATCATCAATTTTGTCAAATGACACCAGAACGAAGATCATCGACGTTACACTAAAGCATAGAGACAACAAAATTAAAGTTTTCAGCTTCACTCTTGGCTTAAAGAAAAAAAATGGAGATAATTGACAAATTAAAATATCAAAGGATGACAAACGGAAAACTGATGTACCAAAAAAAGTAATTATGCCTACTTTTCTGAAAACATCAATATAATTGAACCACAGATTCTTCAACGAAAGCAAAAGCATTCGTGACCATTTCAGAAATGTATTAAATACTACGATGGCAACTTTGCAATTATTATTTCTATACAACAATATTAGAGGAATGCAAATCAAACAATATACTAGAAGAGGTTCCGTGGGACCTTAGGGCACATAGAAAAAATTATTAGATTATCACTCTTTTTTTTTTAAATTGATGAGGGAGGGCTTTTTTTTTTTTTTTTTTTAACAATAGATTATTTCGCTTTTGTTCATCGATGAGGGAGGGACTGTTTATATTTGGTCTGTAATAGTAAATATTGTATAAAAACTGGTTTAATTTTATAGTTTTTTAAAGAAAATGTATTTGAAGTCACAAAATTGCATTGTTATTTTTATGCTGTTGAAATAATTGATGCGGCAAAAAAATTTTTTTTTAATTCCTGCATCAATATTTCCCGATGTTTTTGACGCGGGTGGGAGTGACAATCCAATATTTTTTTTTTTTATATTTGCCCTTAATTGAGACGTTCAAAATTGTGAAATGTTGTTTAAGAGTTTTGTTCAGGGGTTTCCGAATCTAGACACAATGTTGGAAAAGGCAAACTACAAATTCGAGACTTTTAAAACGAAGCCACATCAAAGATAGACTACCTCCTAAAAATTGTCTTGACTCAATGGTTTTAAAAACACACCTCGCCAAGAAGTTCTCATATTTAAAACTAGAAAAAGCATTCCCAAAGATTCCGATGTCTAACTGTCTAAAAGGTTTAATATTTTCTACACGAACATTTTTACACGTGGGCGTTGTGGTAAGTGAGGCATGGCAGTTTTCGACGTCTGTTCTTTTGTTGTCTACAAGCATAAAAGATTGAACTACAAAAGCAAACAAGAAGGTAGTAGGCTTAATATACAGGTAAGCGTACAGCTAGATTTTGTATAGAAGTGGTCTCGTCTTGTCGCCACTGTGACACCATTATTGTTAATATAAAGTAAGCCATGGAGGTATTATAGTATAGTTTACTATTATAATAACACTATGTCTTGCTAAGGAGGCCCTAACATGGTACACTATAACAAAGAATTAAAACAAACCATTTGTCGACTGTTTGAGATGACGTTTAATTTGACAAGCGGACAACGTTAAGTTATGTTATAAAATCTCTTCCATCTGAACCCTTGGCTAGAGAAATGTCAAAGAATGCATGAGGGCGCTTTTGAAAAAAAAAGAAAATTCTCCAAATACAAAACTTTATTAATTATTCCATGGTAGGAATAACACAAGAATATAAACAAAACGTTAATGAAAAATGGCATATAAAAAGACTCTAAAAGTAGGCCTAGTGTTTATTGAACTATTATGGTAGCATACCCTACACCATTATCATCATCATCATTATCTCATTCATTTTTGACACGCTTTTGTATTTTACGCCCCCATCAGATCCCCCCTCCATGTCAATATTCCCAGAAAAAATTAATTGGTCTTTTACAAAACGTTCTTACAACGTCCGTGAATGTTGTGGTTAGGTAAGTCACAAAATAACGTTCACACAACGTTGTAAGTAC